CACACACACACACACACACACACACACACACACACACACACACACACGATAAGCCCAAAGATAGATGCATGCTTATCTAAGTTAGTTGACCCAATCAAGTTTGATTGTGTACTTTGACTAGATCAGTTCTTAAAAACTGTGAGTGCCAGGGAGGACTAGACACTGAAATGTGATCTGCATAATGTTCTTACTAATATTCTTGCCTTGTTTGCAGCCCAATTTTGCCCATGGTCTAGCTTCTCTTCAGATACCCCATGGAGCAACTGTAAAACGAATGTACATCTACAGTGGAAACAGCCTCCAGGATACAAAGTGAGTGTGAGAAGCATGAGTTCTGTGCTAGGCCCATAGCCTCTCTGGGAGGGAGAGCCATGCCTTGTTCATTCTTTGTCTCCTCCAGGGCTCCTGTGATGCCCTTGAGCTGTTTCCTAGGGAATGTATATGCTGAAAGTGTAGATGTTCTTCGAGATGGAACTGGACCCTCAGGGTTGCGACTTCGCTTGCTCGCTGCAGGTAGGTTCCCTCCCTAGCTTTGAGCTTCATATAAGTTCTCTGTTGTATCATCCATGTAGAGACTTCTGTCATGTCAAGTGTCTGGTGAGGGCTCCCTACAGATGTGTTTATTGTTACATTCCTGTGTTTGAAATAACTCGCTAGCTTTCAGGGGTTGTCTTGTATGAACACTAATCCCAACTGTGAGATCTCTACCTCCTAAAAGCAGAGCTTCCTAAAACTACATCACCTTAACAGGTTCAGATCTGGCCAGGCAGTGGTGGCTCACACCTCTAGTCCCAGTACATGATGCCAGATCACTGAGTTCTAGGACAGCCAGGGCTACACAGAGAAACCCTGTCTCAAAAACCCAAAATAAGAAAACAAGTTCAGAATCAACACACAAGTTTTAGGAGAATATAAGTACTTAATCCATTACTAGAAAGTTAATAGAAAACAATAGAGATGTGGTTATTTATTTCATTAAATAAAAATTTAATGCAGCTTTTATTTTATCAAGGGACAAAACATAGTTTTACTTTTCTGTGTGATGCATGCATTTGAACATGTTGTGTGTACCCAAACGTATGGATGCAGAGGCTAGAGCAGAACATGGCATCTCTTCTCCACCTTATTGCTTCAAAGCAGAATCTCCCACCGAATCAGAATCAGCCAAGCTGGTGGCCAGCAAGCTCTTGGGATAAGACCTCAAATGTTGGACTTACAGGCATGAGTGTCCATTGTCCATTGCTTTTGATCTTTTTCAAGACAGGGTTTCTCTGTGTAGCTCTGGTTGTCCTGGAACTTGTTCTGAAGAGCAGGCTGGCCTGAAACTCAGAGAGCCACCTGCCTCTGCCTCCCAAGTGCTGGGATAAAAGGCGAACACCACCACTACCTGGTGTTTTTTTTGTTTGGATGGGGTTTTTGTTTTGTTTTGTTTTGTTTTGTTTTTTAACATGGGTGCTGAGAGTTCAAACTTAAACAGTGCTCTCTCAGCTCCACAGCTTTATTTCAGTGTGTTTTGGGAGTTTTGTTTAGTTTTCAGAGACAGAGTCTTATAATGTAGTCCAGTATTATAGAGAAAAAAATAGCTAGTAATGTTTATTATTAAAAGCCTGTATATTGGCAGTGTTGTCTTACCCAATACCTTAAATGAATGCCAATAGCAATAAAAGACACCTGGTTTTGTTTTTCTGTTTTGTTTGTTTGTTTGTTTGTTTGTTTTTGTTTTTAAGGATTTTATTTTATGTGCATTGGTGTTTAGCCTGCTGCATGCAAGTCTGTGTGAGGGTATCAGTGCTTGGAGTTGCAGACAGGTGTGAGCTGTCATGTGAGTGCTGGGAATTGAACCTGGTTCCTCTGGAAGAGCAGTCACTGCTCTTAACCACTGAGCCATCTCTTCAGCTCCACCTGTTATATTTTTAATAAACCTTATTTCACTTGGGCTGGGCAGATATTTCCCCCTAAGCTACCTTGTTATGACCCATCTCCATCCCTTGCCATCTGCTTTAATCATTTCTATCTGGGCTACTTCCCATCCATAATCCCAAATACTTGTACGAGCTTTCCATATGGGCAGCTGCTCTCCACACCATTCCCAGACTTCTTTCTCTTCCCATACCTGTCTTCTCCTCCTTCTTGTGATTCCTCTATTCCTCCCAGCATGTAAACCTTGGCCACGCCTCCCTAACTTCTACCCTTCCCAGGTGTGTAGGCATTTATTTAGCCAATCAGATATTTTGGAGGCAAGGATTCCAAATGTCATTTTGGGATACATGAGTGTCTGTTCACAAATGACAGCAAGCAGACCTCAGGGGGCAAAATAATTAACAATCAAATACAAAGCTCCAGGCAATGCTGTTACAGCCCAGACTGGCCAGGAACTTGAAGTCATCCTCCTGTTTCAGCCTCCTGAGTAATTGGATTATGGGAGAATACCACTACTTGTCTGTCTTTAGAAAATCTGAATAAACAACAGCACCACAAGGCTTGCACTAAATCCACTGCAAAGACATGTACCTTTGTGGTGATTTCCAGAGTGTTTCTGGATGTATGTCTGGACTACAGAGACCATGTGTTCTTTGTATCAGTCCCTGGGTATGGTGGCTCAAGTCTGTAATCCCAGCACTTCAAAGATTGGGGCATAAGGATCACCATGACTTTGAAACTAGCTTGGGCTACATTTTAAGACCCCTAAAAAGAAAGAAAGAAAGAAAGAAAAAATAGTACTTAATTGAATTAACTCTGAACAATTAGCGATTAGTCTACAACCTCTATGTTAGAACTTTCTAAATGTGTTGTTGAAGATGAATGGTGTTATTTGTGGGGGGGTATGTAATATGGTTTTTCTATGCCTGCCCTTCCTCTGAATAATGACACAGAGACCTATTATATTAAGAGCTTCAGACACTATAGCTGAGCAGATACTCAGCTATTCCAACCCAATAATACTGGCGTGGCCTACTTCCCAGCCATGTGACCCATTACCTGCCCTTTTGGTCTCACCCTTGCACCTCTTTATCCAGTCCATGTTCAGATGGTGACTCCTCTCTCTGGTCCCCACTGGGATTGGAAGTCCTGCCTTAACTCTCCAGCCCAGCTATTGGCTGTTCAGCTCTTTATTTTATCAATCAGAAAGTGATGGAGAACAAGTTTACAAAAAACTTAAGACAGGAGATGCTTCATAATAATGACAATACCAAAGTCTGGCCAGATCTCTGCCAGAACTGAAATCAGCATTTGAAGATACAAGGACAAAAGAATTATTCCTACAGGTAGGGTTGTGTGTGTGTCCATAAAGGAAGAAACTCAAAAGACAGCTTTGGAGTTGATATCTCCTTTCACCTTTATGTGGGTTCCAGGCATCAGCTGGTTATCAGGTTTGCAGAGTGAGCAACTGATAACTGAGTTGAGTGCTGGCTCTAAAATGTGTTTTGATATAGCTACACAGCAGAACAAATACTTAAAGGAGTATTGCACTTGAGCTGTCAGGCAACAAAATCAGGGGCTGTGCTGACTCTCTTCTTAGGAGGATCACTCCTGAAATAGCAGGTTCTAGAACAGTAGTGATCATTTGTGACTTGATCACAGTAACATGAGGAGCCTGTTACGAGTAGCCTCGTTCAGCCTAGATTGTCTTCTGTGTCCCATTAACTCATTAAAGATAACCTTGGAACATGAAATGTGTCCATATCAAATTAAGTGAAAACAGACTTCTCAGATTAATTTTACCAAGAGTGAGCCCAGATTTGACTTTCCTTGTGTCTGTCTTCTGTAGTCTATGGTTACCAGCCTGTTTGTAGTCTTGACTGTTATGTCTGAATCTGTGTCTGTCCCCTCACAAAGGGCTTTGCTCTGCATTTATTGACCAGCACAGAAAGCATCAAATGGGATAGGGATGAGGGATATTTTAACAGAGTTCTAGAAGGGGAGAGATAATGCTGACAGCAAAACATAGAACAGCAAACACAACCTAAAATAAATGTTACCAAGCTACATCCACATTTGCAACATTTGTGGTCAATGCATATCTCTTATAAGGTTGTTTCTTTGTTCTGTTTTGTTTTTCCAGACAGGGTTTTTCTGTGTAGCCTTGGCTGTCCTGGACTCACTTTGTAGGTCAGGCTGGCCTCAAACTCAGAGATCCCCCTGCCTCCGCTGGGATTAAAGGCGTGAGCCACCTCACCTGGTTTATAAGGTTGTTTCTAACCTGTTGGCTGCTTTCAGGAAATGATTAACACAACATCCACAAACATATTACTCTGTATCAGGGGCAGGGGCAGGAGCATGGAAAGGTACTTAATTTAAGATTAAAGCTATATATTAGCTAAGTTGCAAAAGCTTATTGCATGGGAAATCCAAGACATAGTAAGGTTGATAAATTGTTTTCTTAAATGCAGGTTAAACTAGCCAGACTGAGTAGGGACAGCAGATTAAGTACATAGTCTTAAATAATCTCAAGGGTTATTATTAACTTTGCTGTGAGGTCTGAAAAAAGTTGAGTCATTAGGGAATCAAGTGATTTTTTTTTTCATATTTTTTCATGAGTTGGTGGCACATGCCTTTAATCAGAGGCAGGCAGATCTCCAAATTTGAGGCCAGCCTGATCTACAGTGCAAGCTGCCAGGCGTAGTAGTGCATGTCCTTTAATCTCAGTGCTAAGGAAACACAAGGAACACAATGTTGAGGCTTTTGACCCACAACTGCTACTGATCTTTTTCCCAAGCTATGTGAACTTAACAGTGGACCTTTCTGAGAAAGACAGTTTTACTTACCAGAATTTACAGCTAGCACAGTGTTTCAGCCCGTGGTAATAAAGAAATGCTTGGGTAACTTGAATGTGTTATTACACTGCCTGTATCATCTTCACTGTGATAGTAAAAGCAGGAGGATTAGACTTTCTTTCAAGGTCATCCTTCAAGTTTGAAGCCACCTTGGGTTATATGAGATCTTGTTTCAAAACAACAAACAAACAGAAAGGCTGGACATTGTGGCACATGCCTTTAATTGCAGAAGAGATAGGTGGCAGAGATAGGTGGATTCCTGAATTCAAGACCAGCCTGGTCTACAAAGTGAATTCCAGAACTGGCAGGGCTACACAGAGAAGCCCTCCTTAGTGCTGGGATTAAAGGCATGCACCACCACACCCTGCAAGAAATACATGTTAAAGATAAAGAAGACAAATACTTAAGGATTTGGCAAATAAGTTAATTCTTCAGAATTCCTGTCTACTATTTCCAAGTAGATAATGGCAGTCTTGTTTAAATTAAGCCCTGTTGACCTGGTATTTACACTTGAATACAATCTTTCCCTTTTTGGCTGGACCTGATAAGTCAGGAGGAGGTATCTGTTAGCTTCTTAAGAGCGCCATGACCTTGGGTTACAGTGTCTTCAGTCCTGACCAGAACCATCTTTCCCTTGTCTGTAGGTTGTGGGCCCGGAGTATTAGCAGATGCCAAAATGCGAGTGTTTGAGCGTGCCGTGTATTTTGGTGATTCTTGCCAAGATGTCCTTAGCATGCTTGGCTCTCCACACAAGGTCTTCTATAAATCCGAAGACAAGGTAGGGGAGAGATGCTTACAGTATGAATAGGCAGTCTGTCGATTCACCAGTATTTTAATGTATACAAGTGAGCTCTATTTTCCCATAGACTCTGTTCTACTTGAAGGAAAAGTTTTGGCCCATCATAGTCTAATCATTCAGTCCCATGTCTATCCTGCACACTTGGAGATCTGTCCATATTAACAGATCTGGTTCCCAGCAGTCTTACTCATCCAATAGCTAATGTTATTTAAAGAACACAGTGTGTAGATGTGCGTTAAGTGGAAACAATGTAAAAGGGATTGTAATTGTTACTTTCCCCCTACAGATGAAAATTCATTCTCCTTCCCCTCATAAACAAGTTCCATCCAAGTGCAATGACTACTTTTTTAACTATTTCACTCTTGGAGTGGTAAGTATGATAACTTAAAGGGTCTCACTTCTATTGGCGTAGGCAGGACAATAGAAGCCTGTGTAAAGCAGCCATAACCTTCTGGGGAATCAAGGAACTTTGGCTCCTCATGCTGGCACCAGGTATTTTTCATAGGTTCTGGCATCACAGTGTAAACATTTGTGTGACCACAAATACTGAGAAACATTCGGTTTTCTGATTTGTCTTGCCTTTTCTGGGGAAAGCATATTTCACATATGGGAACTGTGGAATCACCACATTAAACTGTTGGGAGAATTATCCTATAATACATAAGGCACTCTTCTGGAGTCACAAAAAGAAAAGACTGGAAAGGCCCAGGTAGGCAATAACAGTGTATTTCTATTTTGACTGTCATGGGTCACCATTGTTGCTGTTGTTTTAACTTGTTTGAAACAGGGTCTTGTTATGTGGCCAGGGCTGGCCTCAGGCTCATCTCATGTCTGTTTTGGGCATGTTGCTATTACTAGTTACCCAGCTAGACCATGGCTCTTCATAATTAGCTCTGAGCTTTCCTTTGTCTGAAGTCCAGAGGCAGAAAAGGAGATCATAGAGAAGGAGAAAATGGGAAAGGCCAAGCATGAGTCAGAAATCCTTGGGGAGCTTTGGGGACAGACTTCTTAGGGTAGGATAGCGGTGGGAAGGAATGGGGCTGATGTAGTTGAACCTCAGAGTTCAAGCACCAATGATCATAGGAGGAAGATGGCAAGAACAATAACTTTGGTTGGGTTTTGTTGGCTTTTTGTAAAGGAGTAGAGTAAGAAGTAAATCTGAGGTCACTGACCTTAGCAGCTAGGAAGAGCTAGGGAAGTTGGTAGTTACAGGAGGAAATAGCCAATGGGCAACATCAAATTAAGTCCTGGTAAGAGGTTAGGTCCAATGGCAGTTCCATTAGTTATCAGGTTATATAGAAGCCAGGGGTCTGATTGGTTATATAGTGTTTACATAGCTGGTGTCTGGGCCTTTCAAGAGTGAAGTACCCTGAATCTTTCTGATGACTTGAACCAAAACATGCTTTTAGTTAAAAAAAAAAAAAAAAAAATCTAGGTTCCATGGTTGGGGAGGACGAAGATTTCCCTTGGCTGTTTAAGTTGCCAAGCAGTAGAGCTGTAATCCCTGTGCCTGCCAGGCCCCCTCCACCAAAGATGCCTAGTTAAGGCTGCTGTGAATATGTAGGAGGAGGAAGCTGCTAAGCCTTCAAGTTGGAATTCTCTTGGGAAGGCCCCTGACCTGTGTTGGTAACTTTTCCACTTGAACATCTTGGGGTTTTGTTTTGTTTTTGTCAGGACATCCTCTTTGATGCAAATACACACAGAGTGAAGAAGTTTGTCCTGCATACCAATTACCCTGGGCACTATAACTTTAACATGTGAGTACATCTTAGGTATGGAGGATGAGCTGAGCTTGATCTCTCTCTACCAGATTTCTTCCCCTCACTTGTGCTGGCAATTGAACCCAGGACCTTGAGTGGGCTATGTAAGCACTTCAACATTGAGTGACACAAACTCTGTTTTGTGGGAAATAAATGTATGCTAAGTGCCCACTGTGTTCCTGCCCCGGTATTCAGTGCTTTTTGTCTGTGTGTACTCAGTTTACAGATAACAGTCAGAAACTGTTATCTTTTCAAGGCAGGGTCTTTATAGCTGTAGCGAGCCTGGTCCACTATGTAGCGCAAGCTGGCCTCAATCAAAACAGTCCCCATCACTTGGCCTGCCAGTGCTTGGATTACAAGTATGAGCACTATGCCCTGCTAGAAACCTTTGTAGTTTACCTAAGTTAGTAGTCTTTTTAGACCTGAGAGCCATGTCCTTTTCTGTTTGGCTTCAGTGCCTGAGTTGGGCCTCCCCAGTGAATGTTGTCCAAGACCCCAAGCCAGGGCTTTGGACAGGTATGTAGGGTTCTGGCTTTTCTGGGATGCAGAATAAAGGTACAAGAGCTGTTGTGCCTTCCAAGAAACAGCTTTTACTTTTATCTGTCGTTCTAGTTACCACCGCTGTGAGTTCAAGATCCCACTAGCCATAAAGAAAGGTAAGTGGGGAGGTGCCCTCACGTTAAAGGGGAGGTGCAGTTACTTGCCTGTGTTAAGAAGGGGGAAAGCCAGAAGAGAAAGTGTTCGGTCTGGAAAAATCTTTACTGTCTTCCCCCCAGAGCCTCACCTCCTGGAGACACAAAAAGAGACTGGAAAGGCCCAGGCAGGAAGAGTGCTCTTTTGTATTTTTAGAAGGCCACCCCAAAGACACTATGGTGGTCCTTTGTTCTGGAGGCCATAAAGGCCTTTTCCTGGGACTAGGACTGGACTGTTGGCTAGTGGACAGAGGAGTTTCCACTGTCTGCAGATTTATTATCCTTTGTGCCCACTGCCAACTAATATAACTCAGACCAAGACTGGCCTCCCCTTGCACATTCTTCCAAACAACCTGCCTTTGCTCCCTGTGTCTAGCTACAGCAAAAAGGGTGGCTAGGTCTGGATTCTATGGATACCTATGGCCGGGCCTATAGGTAACCAAAGCCAGCCCAACCCAGTCTTTGCCATCTTCTCTTTCCAGAAAATGAAAGTGGTCAGACTGAAATATGCACGACCTACAGCAAGGTGAGCTCTTCTTTTCCTACCTAGGAGTCTGAGAATGAGGGGAGCATGGGGTCTAGGGCCACGTCCTCTGGGAAATCTATTAGTCACAGGTGTGTATTGGTCCTTGTTCACCCCTGCTGTCCCTATTTTGCAGTGGGACAACATCCAGGAGCTTCTGGGCCATCCTGTGGAAAAGCCTGTTGTCTTGCACAGGTAAGTGGGAGATTGCTGAGTCTGCTCAGGAAAGTCTAGCAGGGGCTACTACTAGCTCTGGGCTAGAGATGCAGTTCAGTGTGGTATATTTACTTAGCTTGTGCCAGCCTTCGGCTAAATTCCAACTCCAATTGGTGTTGCTGAAACATACAGACTCTCTGCTCAGTCATGTAAGGATTAAATCAGCCGTCTTCATTTTTACTTTAAAGGTTGCCCCTGGTGGATCTCCTGCCCCAGGTCTCGATCTTCTCAGCCCTTATTCAAAACATGTCATTGTTTGACTCACTGTCTTCAGCTTTCCCTTCCCATCAAGTCTGTAACCTCATATCTGCTGTGCTAGCTGAGGTGCCCTCTCAATTGGGACCTCCTGATTTCTTACTCCTCATTCAGTTCTGTAGTAACTGCCCTAGTTTGGTCTCTGCTATGGGGAGAAATTGGTTTATTTGGCTTGCAGTCTGGGTAAAATCTATCATTGGGGGGAGTCAGGGTAGGAACCATGGAGGAAAGCCACTCATGGCTTGCTTTCTCTGCTCAGTTTTCTTTCTTTGGGGGTGTGAGTAAGTGGGGTGGGTGGGTAGAGAGATCTCTCTTACATATCCCTGGGTGGCCTTGAAGTCTCAGAGTTCAAGCCTCTCAGGAGGCTCCTGCCTCCTGGATGCTGTGATTAAAGGCTGCACCACCATGTCCAGCTAAAGAAAGCTTGCTTTCTTACACAACTCAGCACCCCCTTCCCAGGAGAGGCTAGGTCCTCCCACATCAGTCATTAAGAATGCCCATAGAGATGCCTTCATGCCAATCTGATGAGGCAATGCCTCAACCAGGGAGGGTGTCCTCTTCCCAAGTGACTCTAGTTCCTGTTGGGAAAAACTAGCCAGCCAAGTAACTGTCTTTGATCTTTGAATATAGAGTTTAAGGAAACCACTTCTTACCATTTGACCTTGAAGGCGTGTGTAGGAGACAGACACTGTCATGTGAGACCAATAGCCAATAGCCCACATCCTAGAAGGAACTGCACCTTCTGCTGCTTGGCCTTTGTTTCTCTAATTCTGGATTCTTTGGCCTCAGGTCCTCATCCCCAAACAATACCAATCCCTTTGGCTCTACATTCTGCTTTGGTCTTCAGCGGATGATCTTTGAGGTAAGTCTTAGAGGCCAGATAAGCTGCTAAGGGCTTTGCAATTGTAGCAAAGCCCTGCAAGTGATTGAGGAATTGTAGACAGGTTAACAGCCATGCTGGACAGATGCATCCTTCCTCATCTCCGCTGTCTAAAGGTTGAGACATAATGATTGAGAGCCAGTGAGGTAGCTCAACAGATAAAGGTGATCACTTCCGGGCCTGAGGACCTGAGTTCAATCCCTGGTTCCCACATGGTAAGAGAGAACAATGTCCTGAAAGTTGTTCTCTGACCTCTGCATGTATACTGTGGCAAATGCATGCCCCAAGCCACATAAAAAAATTAATAATAATGTGAAAAAGAAAAAAAAGTTGGGGAAATCTTGAGTCACAGAACCTGAAGAAGTCTATATAAACAGGATGAGCCTTTTGGTGATTTCTTAATTTGTATCAATAAGCAGTATAGCAGGGAGGGGAACCTCAAGGCAAGTATGGCCAAACTTGGGTGTGCCATGTCGATGAGTGGCCCTAGAGAGACCTCACTGATTTGAGAGAAGACTGGGGAGCCCATATGTTGAATCTGAATGCCATATTTCTACAGGCCTTTACGGTAGGTTCCTATGAGGAACAGGCAGAGCCCAGGCCTGTGTGACGTGTGCCATGTATACCCACGCAGTCCTGGGGACATGATCAGCCTATATTCTTCCCTCCTGACCTGCTGTTCTCTTCTTACACCAGGTCATGCAGAACAACCATATTGCCTCAGTGACCCTGTATGGCCCCCCTAGGCCTGGTACCCACCTGAGAACAGCAGAGCTGCCCTAGGACATCACTACCCATTCCCCTCTGTCCATGGAACTGTGCATCACATCCAGCTCAGTGGGTCTCTGTGCCGGTGTTGTGTTTTCTGGGACTCCGAAGGGTTGAAGGGCAGTGTTGAAGGGCTCTGGGACTCCGAAGGGTTCAGAAGTAGGATTCGGTCTGAGTCCTCCACCTTGGGGCAGACGACCCAGATACAGCTCTGTCCTAAGTCTGCTTTTGCCAGCAGAGAACACAGTCTGCAAAGAGAAGCACAAACTTTGAGCCTTGATACCAGGCCCTCTTGACTAACATGTAATGAAGGACATGTCAAGCCCTGACCTGCCTACACAGGGAAGATGGGGCTCTTTCTCTAGCTAAGGGAACGTAACTTGGATGAGAACAGGGTCCTGCTTTTGGCCGGACGTTGCCATGTGGCCCTTAAGGTGAGCAGAGGTAGTAGCATGTCCATAGTACTTGGTTGCAATATTTGCACTACATCCACTTTAGTTACTTGAGCTGGCTGTGGCTGGTGTGGCCCACATGCCCTTTTCTGTTTCTTTTGTGTAAGTGCTCCCTGCCCAGGTGGCACACCCAAGTGGTTGAAATACAGTTTTCTTCCAGGTATTTACCTAAGCCTGGTTCCCACTGCTGCTCTGGGAGCCAGCCTTTAAGGTCACCTGTGTCTCTTGGTCCAACCTGGCTGACAGGGCTGCATGTCTCCATCTTGTTTGCCTTTTATTTAATGCCAAAGTGTTAGCCAAAGACACCTTCCTCCTTTCGTTACATTAAAGCATTCTGTTATGCACTGTGGGCCAGCTCCCTGCCCTAGTTCTGGGCACTGGCCTGGCCTGACCTGGCCACTTGGCTTAAAGGCCTAGGGGCTCAAGGAACACTGGGCTGCTTGGTTTCTTACATGGGTCTTGCTAATGGAAAGTAGCATATATGTGCTTTAAAATAGTAATCCTTTTGAAAAGAATTGAGAAGAGAAATGTATAATTTTATCTCATTTTTAATATTTTGGTCTAGCAACTTGTGATACATAGATGACAATTTTGTGAGTTTTTCAAATGTGTGTACAGATTTTTGTAAATAATGACTTTTGTAATTAACTCATGTACAGCCTCATCTTGTATAGTTCATGATGAATGTGCGGGGACCTGCCCCAGCTGTCTGTATGGTTCCTGGGCCTACAGCCAGGCCTGTGTGGCACTCCCATGACTGATGGACAGGTGTCTTCCCATTTGGACCTTGGTCTGGCCAGAGACCCTGCACATCTCGCTGTCAGGGTAGCCAGGACTGTTCCCATCCTCTTGAACAGAGGAAACTTCCTTGTCCCCTTTCCAATAAAGCACCTATGCCCTCAGTAACAGCTTGCCATGTGCTGCTGCTGGGGTGTTTGTACTAAAATGTGAATTGTTGCTTAACTTGAAGCTGTGGTTGAGGAATATGGGAACTTTTATAGGGGAGGGATCATGGGACTCTTCTGAGAAGGTGATGGGGCACCCTTCAGCAGTACAGTGGCATAGTTGTGTGCGAGTATATGATGAGCAAACCAAGACACATCATGGTCCCGTCATGTTGCAGGCAAACCTGGACCTGAAGGGTTAGTCAGCTCCAACCCAGCAAACCTCAAAGAAGACAGATCTGGCCTCTGGGAATCCAGTGTGGAAAAGGAAGGAAGCTAGTATCTTATAGGAAAGTGCTGGCCAGGTCCATGAGGCCTGGCCATGGGGAAAGTAACGTGTTTGCTTCCTAAGATTTATGGAAAGCCAATTCCCTACTAGTATGCATACTCTGTTAACCCACGAGGGAAACCCCTTCTGGCTCTTTAATGTTCCGTCCTGGAGCTGAGTGAGAAAGGCTTGACAGATAGCTAAGAGTTCCATTGGAAGGGACCTGTTGCTACAGGCTGTGGGTGTGCACACACTGGGCCTTGAGGCCCATGCAGCAAGCGCCACATGAGCCAGATGTCCGCCGCAGACAGCCCATGCACTACCACCAGTTCTCGGTAAAAACAGGGGTCAAAGGTGTGAAGATTTGGTGCAGCTGAAGGCTGGGAGATGCCGAAGGTACGAAATGCTGGATGAGGCTCAGGTGTGAGCCGTAAGCGCTGCATGCACATACCCAGAAAAACGTCATCTATGGGAAAGAGCTCAACCTCCGAGCAGGCCTCTGCTAGGCGACGGAGCGTGGCTCCCGAAAGAACAAAGCCACCCCCCCCAGCGTAGGCCGGGTACTCTGGCAGTCCATACACAGCCTCGGGGATGAAGTACTTGCTGGCTCTGGCCCGGATTGGCCTTGCTTGCACAATCACGTCACCTGCGAGAAGGTCCTGGGCCGGGTCCCGCGGCTCCAGGAACTGCAGCAGGTTCTTCACGTGCACGAACACATCTACATCGCCCTTAAAAACAAAGCGTACGTCTGGGCAGAACGCTGAGGCCCAAGCTAGAAAGTGAATCTCCTTGAGCGTGAGATTGAAAAAAGTGTCCTCGAAAGCCCAGAGCAGGATGTCTGCGTAAGTCCGGCTCTCAGCCTCCAGCAGGGAGCGCCAGTGCGTCCGCGCGCCCGCCCCGCCGGCGCCCCTGGGCACGCCCAGCAAGAAAACTCGGCGCACGAGTGCCCCCTGCACGCGGCCCTCGGCGCCCCAAGTCTGGCGTACGGCCTCCCGCCGCTCGAAGTCGGCCACCACAGACTTGACCGCGATGAGCAGATCAGGCGAGCCGCCAGGTGCGCCATTGCTGCGGCATTTGCGCGGCTGGTTAATGAGCAGCGGGAAGCGCCGTTGGTCTTTAGCGCGCAGATACCTGGCGAAGTCAAAGGGGCCGGTTGGCGTGGGCGGCACTGGGGTGTCCCCCTCGTAGGCCGGCGGGGGCGCGCGGGCAGTGTTGGGGAGCTCGCGTGCGCGGTGACCGGGTGTGGGCCGCGGGTGCTGTCCTCGAGCTGGCGGTGCCCTGGTCGTGGGGGCTGCCCCGTCGCGCTGCGCGTAGAGCAGGAGGCCGAGGGCGGCGCTGAGCAGCAGCGTGAGCCACGCGTCCCGGCAAAGGCGCGGCCTCCTCCTCATGTCCAGCCCCGCCCTGCCCGAGGTCCTCTATCCTTTCTTCATCCACTTAGTCGACCTCCGCCCGGGGCCCTGATACCGCGGCAGCCTAAGGGATAAGAGGTGCAGCTTCCAGCCCCAGCCCAAGAGGGATCCCCAAGGCTGGGCAGGGAGACGCAGGCCTCGCCCCCCACCCGGTGCACCAAGGCGGGGTCCCTTCTGCCTTCCCCCTCCCCGCCACTGACTTGGCTCTTAGGACCCCAGCACTCACGCTTGACCGCGGGACTAGGGGGTGGGGTCTCAGCTCCGGAATGTAGGGCCCTCCAACTGTCAGCTCAGGGTCCCAAGGGCAGCCATGACCCGCGCTTGAGCCAAATGCAGCGTTGGCAGGAAGGGGGCTGAGGCAGTGCCACGTGATCCTCCAGCTGTGTACGCCCCGACATCTGGAGCTCTGCTCCGCCCAGTGCAGGGAACGCCATCTCTGAATACGGACTGATCCCTCTTACTGGGAAAGCCTGACCTTTCTGCTGTCTCAGTCGCTCGCTCGAATTCCATATTTCTAAGGCTTGTCTCTAGTACCCCCATCCCCACCTCTACAGAAGGCTGTAAGGGTCCCAAATTCCTAGGCCTTAACTTTCAGCTCTGCTGTCCGTCAACCTGGGCTGTCTTTCAGAAAACCTCTCTTCAACAACCCTGGTCCACCAAGCAGGAGCCGTTAAGCTGCCCTCGTGATATAAGGCTGCCTCTTCCTTTACTCCTAGCTCTGCCAGGCTTGCCACCGGTAAACTCGAGCACACAGACCCAAACAAGCAAGACAGCAGGTTCTGGCCCTGCAGCCCTGCCAGCAGCTACACCCAAGGAGGACTGTTGCTTAGTGAGTTAGTGACTTTCCCCAGGTGCCGAGGGCAGGGAGCATTGCCCCCAAGAATTTGGGAATTCCCATTGTCTCCTTGCTCTCTTCATCCACTGGACACAGGAAATGGACTTACGCTTCCATGAACTTCCCAGGCAAGCACTTCCTTCCTGTCTTTGCATGCCCAGATGCAGTTTTGAGTTTCCTGCTCCCCAACATGGCATCCTTCAGGGTAAAGATGACCGTGCTGTTGCCTCTGCAGTCGACTAGGCTGTCAGGGATTGGTGCTCTTGGAGGTGGAGGTCACTTCTAGAAGTAGCCATTAGGCACGGCGGGCTACCCCCGTGTTTTCCTACCTCTCTGAGCTGCTTTGTCATTCAGGCCACACTACCCTCTCTTACGGGGTTGTTTGAGGGCAGACCATGCTTTGTACCCCCAAATAGCCTTGAGCCCGTGACCTGCCTGCTTCAGCCTCCAAAGTGTTGAGATTACAGGTCCACACTAGTATTCCCAGCTCCATTCTTGAATCTTTGGCCCCGATTGTTTTCCTCAGTCCGGAACTATAGACACAGCTGAGCTCGGGATTCATCAGAAAGTCCTGCAGGATAATCATTCCCTGTAAACAGAGCAATCAGGGCCTCCCCGAGGGAGGCCTTCATCCCACTGACAGATACAGACTCCCGGTCATCACTTAGCCCATCCTCACCCACGGTCACAGGCCTGTTCCCGTCCTCCTCCCAGTCAGCGGTTGGTAGTCATCCCTGTTTTCTGTCTCTGCACTCACTGCTTTGGCTTCTCTCTCCCCCCTATCCAGCCTTCCAGTCTTCCTTCCCAAATGCCTTCAAAGGTGTCTCAGCTGGTAGAGTGCGGACCTTACCCCGAGTTTAAGCCCCAGCATTCTATAAATGGCATAGTGGTGCCTGCCTGTGATCCCAAGCACTCCGGGAGCATCAGAAGTTCAAGGTCATCCTTGGTTTCATAGGAAATGAGGCTAACCTGTGCTGCATGAGACATTGTCTCAGAAAAAGGGGCAGGGGAAAAATGGAAACCATGGAGTCTCTGAGCAGCCACTGAAGGAAGGACTTCAGGATAGCTATACATACATGTATACACATGTGCAAGGGCAGTGTGCAGGATCAGGAAGGAGGCTGTGAGTCGTTTCTCTCCAACACCTGTGTATGCATATCTTTTTTTTTTTTTTTTTTCATTTCTAGTTTTGGTATAGTGGGGAAGGCAGCAGAGGATAAAGAAGTGAAGTCTCAGAAGAGCAGGAGGAAGACATAACTTAAGGTACAGAGCCCATGGGCTTGGCTTGGGCCGATGGATGTCTGAGTTCAAGGCCAGCCTGATCTGCATAGTGAAGTTCCAGGACAGCCAAGGATACATAGTGAGACCCTGTCTCAAAAAAGAAACAGTTGGTTCTTAATAGTTGCTGTATTCCCGTGGGAAACTGAAGGCCTAAATCACATTTTTATTAAAGTGTGTTTATGTGTATGTATGATTTGCTTGCTTGTGTGCCTATGTGCCATGCACACCCCTCGTGTCAGGAGAGGGCACTGGATCCCCTGCAAGTGGAGTTACAGATGGTTGTGAACTGCCATGTGGTTCCTGGGAACCAAACTTTGTTGATCTTCCGGAAGAAACACCAAGCCACCTCTACAACCCCTGAAGATTGTAAATGATGTATTTGCGCGTGTGGGGATATGTACATGTGCACGCAAGTGCCTGAGGCCAGAACCTCAGGAGCTCACTGGCTCAGGCTGGCCTCAGACCCACAGGTCCCCAATGATATTAAAAACCTAGCACATTTGGTGCGGCACATCTGTAATCACATCACTCTGGAGCTGGAAGCACCTGGAGAATGATGAGTTCAAGGCCAGCCTGAGCTAAATAATGAGACTGTCTCAAAAGAAAAAACCCAAGAGGCAGAATGTAGCCCTGTGGTGAGACTGTCCCAGGGTCGGCATTTCATGCCTACCACCACAAAACTCCATCAAACTAGAGTTTCTGGCTGTATGTAATGCAAAATTAAATTCTCTAGCCCAGCCTCCCAGCTTCAATAATCATTGAGGTTTGAATTTAGTGACTGTAAGTTAGGTTGAAAATCCTGATGGAAAAAAAAGTCCAGATTGTTTTGTTGGGTAGGGGGTCTCAACATGTAGGTCATTCTGGCTTCCAAATTGAAGCCATCTCAGTGGAAACAGGGGCAAAGACCTCAGTAGAAACCAAAAATTTTTTAAATCTTGATTTAAGTCTTGATTTCTTTTTTTGTTTGTTTGTTTTTTGTTTTTCGAGACAGGGTTTCTCTGTGTATAGCTTGGGCTGTCCTGGAACTCACAGAGATCTGTTTGCCTGCCTCTGGTCCCTGAGTGCTGGGATCAAAGGCAGTGAGCCACCACTGCCTGGCTGAAATTTTTATTTTTCTTCTTCAGGCTCACAGTAATAGATGTTTTAAAAGATGATCACCAAACTATAACCGCCCCCACCCGTGCTATCCTTCACTAACAGGACAGGGGTAACCCCTCCTCTCATCTAGCCCCTCTAAACTTGGCCTATCATCCCTTCCTCCAGGCCCCGCTGAGCCTGCTGTACCCAGAACCCTGCCCCTCTCTCCACCCCCATCCCACCTGGTTCACTAGTCCGTTGAAGGTGATTAACCCCTTCAGGTGGGCAAGACCTCGGCATTTCCACAAGTCTATAAAAGGATTACATTTTTATTATCATCGCAAAGTGCTTCGGTCCCACGCTGAGTATGAGCCAAGGGCAGGGCAACCGTGCTTCCTGCTCTTAACAGCGTATTTGTACCGCCTTGAATGGCATCTAGACATCTGCAGAAGGTACTCAGTGAGTTTTTGCAGGAAGGCCTCTTTTTGGATGGGAGGGTAAAGACCTCGACACTCCATCAAAGAATCTGGGCCAGTGATAAACCCCTGAGGCCCCATGGGTGCTTGCCTGGCTCCTGAGGAGGGCAGTCAGTCCCACTCCAGCATCTCAGCAAAGTGGGGAGCGTGTGTGTTCTCTGAGTCCAGTGGATGGAAAGTAGTCAGCAGCAGCAACCCAACAGCCACCAGTGGCTTCCAAACACTGCCTGAACTGCTGGTTGACCACCCTTCCCACAGTACTAGACCTAGGCCGGGCCACCATCGGGCTCCACCTGGCCCACCAGCTCCTCTGCTAGACTGGTGAGCTCGTTCTCCTCCAGCGCCTCCACCAGGCGCTGCAGCGTGGCCCGGCGGCCCTCTGCTTGCTTGAAGCGGCGCAGCAGCTGGAAGGCCTGCTCGTACAGCCCGTCGCGCTCGTACTCGTAGGCCAGCGAGTCGAGGGCAGGATCCCTCAGCGCTCGACAGCTGCGCTGCAGCGAGCGCCCCACCCTGCGCCACTTGAGGCCCACCGAGCGCGCGAACGTCTGCTGGTCTTGCAGATTCAGTGGCCGGTTCACTGAGGAGGAAGCGAGGAGAGATCTGTGAGCACTGGAGCCCGCACCTCCCCCGCCTGCCTGGGAATGCCCTGCTCTGGCCTAGATCAACCTCCTGGTGACCCCTCTTCTGCTAGTGAGCCTCACCTACGAGTTGCCCATGAAACAGAAAAGTCTGGCGGGCCTCCGGCAGTGACTTCTCCTCGATAAGAGAGGCAACCAGGGACTTCGAAGCGGCTGGAGCTACCTGTGGGGCTCCACCCTGGCCACTGCCGTCACACGTCAGTTTGCAGAGTTCATCCTCCAGCTCCGCGAGTTCCTCATCCCGGAGCCTGTCGGGCTGCGCGAAGGGGTGCACAGTAAGTGTGGCTTTTGGCCACAAATCCCCGCCCATCCCATCCTGACTCCGGACGGCAGCACCTTCTGAGCTAAGATGTAATTCAAACATCGTTCTTCATCGGTCAGCCAAGTGTCCAGCTGCTCCGCGCCAGCGCGTAACTCCAGCTGCAGCCGCAGCGCTTCCTGGGCGAGCGCGGAGGCGATGGACCTCTGTAGCGCGGTGCGCAGCGCCCCCTCGCGGTAGGCTTTGAGGAAGCGGCCGCACAGCAGGCGCCCGCAGAATCGCAGTTGCACAACGAGCTGCGGGTCGCTGCAGTGGATCTTGAGTATCTCCAGCATGTCAGGGCTGTCCGCACTCTCACTCTCTGCGGAGGTGAGCAGTCAGGCCACCCGCTGTCCCCAGAGAGGGCTTTTCTCCAAGCAGCCAGAGGAGGGCGCTAAACCCAGAGTCACTACTCTCCCAACCCCCGAACAGCTACAGCCTCTTGTGGTCTCTGGCCAGAGATGGAAAAGGGGAACAGAAAGAGTAGGCACTGGGGAAGGATTTCCGGCAAGGAATGCTGCAGCGAGAGAGGAAAAGAAGACGACAGAAAAGTGCAATTAGTAGCAAAGAGTGAGCTGGCCACTAATGCATCCCCAGAAGTGGGGACGTATGTACAGCGGGGTGGCATTAGAAGAGAAAACAGGTAGATCTAGATAAGACAAAGACAAGCGTACAAATGTCTGCACTCAAGGACACACATGCAATAAGCAAAGGCTGCAGACCACACACAGCGGGGAGGGGGTCTCCCTCTCTCCCCATCCCTTTTCCAGCCCCTCGCCCAAATAATTTTTTTTCCTAAAGGTGACTGGGCCTAAATCCGCAAAGGCAAAGAAGTAGCGCCTCCATCCCAGTCCCTCCCACAAAGTCCCAGGCCCACTTCTGCACCTGTCCAGCCACACACCTGACAGTGCAGTCTGAAGAGCCTTGTATAGTGCCACCTTCTTCTTGGGATCCGCATAGGCTTCGGACAGGACCACCTTGTCCAGCGAAGACTCCAAAAACAGGTATGCACTGCCCACCCACTCCTCCTGCCCATTTTGCCCAGCGGCCATCTCGCTCCCTAGAGATGTAAACAGATCACCTCCAGACTTGGAAACAACTATCCAGTCTCGTGGCCCAGCTGTCCTTCCACAGAGTTCCCAACCTCTGGCTCTGCACACAGTCCTGCCCAGCCCAACCCAGACTGGAACCCAGGACTGCCCCTCCACTGCCTTTGACAAAAGGTATAAGGTCACAGTTACAGCAGAACAGAGGTGGGCCCTGAAGCGGGCCCCAGGCCAGGATGTTTCTCTTACCAAAGCTGACAAAAGGCATCTTCCTTCTGGAGGGTGCTCATGATTCAAAACTGACCAGACTAGTCTTAGCTTGGCCTTCAGTTTACCCTTAAGTTCCCAAAGCCTTTGTAGGTCAAAAGTACCACCACGATCCCCACTAATGCTCCACCACCCCACCTACCATCCACTATGCCAACTTATGCTCCACCGTGACCTACCATCCACCATCCCCACTTAGAATCCACCATCCTCACCAATGCTTCACTGTACCAGGCTCCACTTAATTGCCACTGCCTAGATCCAAGTTTGGATATGAAAAGCAAGCCTGGTCAATCTACATATCCCAGCTACCATTCTTCAGGAACCAGTTAGGATTTGATATAGGGCTCAGACGGGACCAATGAAACTCAACTCTGCATCACTGGGTGGACCACTAAGGAAGAGGCACCCGTTTCCCTATCCTTGGTGTTGGATTAGAGGGAAAGAATAGTTTTCTTTGGCTGCTGCTTAGAAGATGAAAACACCTTTTTTTTTTTTTTTTTTTTTTTTTAAACAGTGTCTTTCTATGTATCCCTGCCTGGCCCAAAACTCCCTATGTAGACTCGGTTGGCCTCAGACTCAGAGATCTGCCTGCCTCTGTCTCTCAAGTGCTGGGATTACAAGCGTGAGCTATGTCATGCCTGGCAGGACACTCTTATTTTGCCTACATGTATGTCTGAGCATCACCTGCATGTCTGGTGCTCATGGAGGCATTAGATTTCCTGGGACTGGAGTGACAGATGGTTGTGAGCCCTGTGCAAGTGCTGGGAATCTAACCTGGTTCCTCTGGAAGAGCTGCCAGTGCTCTTAACTGTTGTGCATTCCATCTCAGGACATACACTCTTTCCCCATGAACCCAGCTATCTCTGCAACCATCCTTGACTGCTCAGCTATGGAAGCTGTCATTAGGTAAGAACAGAGCCCCTCAGTGCTAGGATCTCTTCCATCCAACTCCTGTCAAAATCCTGCTTCGAAACCTCCAAAATCACCTGCACAGGACATCACATAGACCTTGCCAAGAGAAGTGATGACTTGTCAATGGCCCGATCCGATCTAAGCATAGGGAACACGGTTGTTTTGCTGTTGTTTGGCTGGTTGGGTTTGGTTTTGGGTTTCGGTTAGTTGGGTTTGGTTTTGGGTTTTGGTTGGTTAGGTTTTTCTGTTTGTTTCATTGTATTTTTGTTTTGTTTTTTTTGTTTTTTTTGGAGGGACAGGGTTTCTCTGTGTAGCCCTGGCTATCGTAGAACTAGCTCTGTAGATCACACTGTCCTCAAACTCAGATACCCACCTGCCTCTCCCTCCAGAGTGCTGAGATTAAAAGGTGTGCACTACCACTGCCGAGCTGAGGGGGAACACAGTTTTGAAACCCCTCTCCCATCAGAAAATATACATATACACATATATTTACTAAAACAGTCTAAAATTATTATTTCTGGGCAGGTTGGGGTGATTTTAATTTTCTTTGTACTTAGCAATATCTTTATATATATCAGCCAGGTGCAGTGGTGCACACCTATAATCCCAGCACTCCGGGAGGCAGAGGCAGGCGGATCTCTGTGAGTTCGAACTCAGCCTGGTCTACAAAGTGAATCCAGGACAACCAAGGCTACACAGAGAAACCGTGTCTTGAAAAAAACAAACAAAAAAATTCTTCATATATAATAGACATGTTTCTTTAATTTTTTTTAAGAAGTAAAAAAAAAATAGTAGAACATGTCTTTTTTAAGTTATTTCTATTTATGTGCATTGGTGTTTTGCCTGCATGTATGTCTGTGTGAGGGTGTCAGATCTTGGAGTTACAAACAGTTGTGAACCGCCATGTGGGTGCTGGGAACTGAACCTTTGGAAGAACAGTCAGAACCATTGAGCCATCTCTCCAGCCCTGTGGTACATGCCTTTAATCCCAGCATTCAGGAAGCAGAGGCAGTCAGATCTCTGTGAGTTTGAGGGCAGCCTGGTCTCCATAGTTGAGATCCTGGCTCAAAAAGACAAAAAGAACAGGCTGGTGAAATGGCTCATCAGTAAAGAGCACTGGCTATTCTTCCAGAGGTCCTGAGTTCAATTCCCAGCAACCACATGGTGGCTCACAACCATCTGCACCCCCTACTGCCCTCTTCTGGCATGCAGATGCACATACAGATAGAGCACTCATACATAAAATAAAATCTTTTTTTTAAGACAAAAAGAAAAACAAAGAAATAGAGTGGGTCTGGTGATATAATTCAGTGGTAGAGTGTTTGCTTAGCATGTGCAAGACCCAGGACCAAAGAGAAAAACAGAAAAAAAGAGCTTGATATGGTGGCATCCTACCTGTAATCTCAGCACTCAAGATCAAAAGGCTGAAGCCAGCCTGTACTACAAAGCAAGGGCCCAGTCTCTTCCACACTTGGGACCGGGTCATATGTATGCTACTCAAGTCCTCAGCCACCGAGCTCCACCCAAGCCCATAAACGTCTTAAAAAGTAAAACGACAAATGGAGAAAAAGGATTCAAGGGATGGGGTGGGGGTCTGGGAGGAGAAGAGGGGACTGCAATCAGGATGTAAAGTGAATAAATAAATTGAGGAAAAAAATAAAAGTAAAACAACAAATCGGGGGGGGGGGAACTCTTCGGTAAAACAAGTGAGGACCCCTTAAGAAGTGGCGTGGTGGCTCTTGAAACATCTCCTTGTTCACTTTCCTTCTGATTTGGAAGTGTATCTGATGGATGTGATTTCACCCCAAAGGGTGGAAAGAGATTTGAAATCGTATGGGGGTGCACTACCCATCAGGCTTGTCAGGCACAAGTACTGGAGATCTGGAGACAGGAGAGTGGTGTGGTGGGCCGATAGGGGAAGTGGCCAGGCTGGAGTCCACTGGAATTGGAGAAGTGAGCTAACAGTATGGACGAGGTGAAGGGGGCTGGTCTCTCACTGTCCCCTTAAGAATCCCTTTAATCCCAGGAATCAGGAGGCAGAGGCAGGCGGATCTCTGTGAGTTCGAGGCCAGCCAGCCTGGTCTACAGGGTGAGTTCCAGGATAGCCAAGGCGACACAGAGAAACCCTGCTTCAGAAAACCAAAAAGAGAAAGAATCCTTCTCAGACGTCCTTCCACGGAAAGCCCCCCACCACCCACCCGGAGGCGTCTAGGCCTCCAGGTATTGGGTCCTGGGACACCAATACCAACTTAAGCATAAACGCCCCTACCCAGGAGCCCGGTGTCTCATTAACATGTAACAGTCCCCAGGCAGCCCCACTTCTGGCTACCTGGAAAGGCAGGGCTCCCAACACAAGGACTGAAAGTTTGAGATTCTCAGGCCATCAGGACACGCCCCCTGCTTGGCGGCGCAGTGCGCGACCTGGTAGAGGGAGGTTCCCAGTCTGCCCACTACCCGGCCTTCAAACTGGGATTCGCACATGCCAGGGCTCAGACAGGAAGGGGGCTCTCAGAGCCGTCCCGGGCTAGTCCTGCAGCCACATCCGCTCACCCTCAGGGTCCTGACAACCCACCAGAAACCCTTACTTGAGACAAGAAACCAGCGAAGGTGGAGGTCGGAGCCCCTAGCACCTCCCACCGAAGCAGCCCAAAAGGCCGCCGCCACGCTGGCCAGCAAAGGCGTGTCACTACCGCGCGGTGCTCACCCTCGGGAGCCAGATCTCCCCTCTCTCCTTCTGCCCCGGCTGCCCCGGGGGAGCCCACCCACCATCCACACTAACCTGGCTGCCGGGCTCCGCCGCGCGCGGCTTCCGGGTGTGCGCGGAGACGCAGGGGCGGTGCCGCAGCCCGAGCCGCCCGGTCCGCCCGCGGGTCCCGCCTTCTCCGCTCAGGGCCTCTCCTTCCTGCCCCGCTGTCCTCCGTGGCCAGTCCCCCTGCCTCCGGGCCAAGGCCACCTAGTCCGCTGAGCAGGTAAGATAACGACACCCAAGGTTAGATGGCAGGACGACCTGCCCACTGGTCAGACTTTAGCGGCCTGAGATTTTTGAGTCCGGAGGGCCCCGGAGTGAGAGCTGCCAAACTTAAGTCAGTTCCCTTAAGTTCAGTCAGAGGGCATCTCCTGGGGACGAGGATTTTCTGGCGCCCCCTAGGAATCTGGTTTGATGATCTAATCTCCGCTACTCTTTAGCACTGAAAACGGGGTGCGGTGGTTCCAGGACAAGCCTAGATCGGGATATCCGAGACTCTAGAGCATACTTGCGGTAAATTCTCCGAGAGACCGTACGCCTGGAAGACGCCGAGAAATTAAATGACAAGTGGCACGAACCTTTACAAAAACCTTCCAGCGCCTTGGAACAAAACTGGCAGCTTCAAAGAGAACGCACAGTTTTCAACAACCCCCACCCTCCTTCTAAAAGCCGAGCAGGTCTGGGGTGTGGGTCTGGGGAGTTCCAACCGAACTTTAATTAGCTAGCGAGAACCAGAGCTGTGCAAGGGTCAGGATCCTAACTTGAACAACAGCCACGCAAGGTGCCAGAGCGGCCGGCCCCAAAGCCGCAAGCTTTTCCCACAGATATATCACAGAAAGTAGGCAGGGAGGTCAGTTTCTGGGCGTGGAGTCAGCATGAAGGAGCCTCCGCCTCAGGGCCTGTATGAATACCATCACTCCCTGATTGGCTTGTGATTCTCAGAAACAAACAAGCAAGCAAACAAACAAAACAATCTTCACTAAGATTCGTGCCTGGCTAACCCAGCACTCACTTTCTAGTTCTAAGGGCTAGGACAGATTCCTTAACCTGAACCTATGGAGTTGAGCAAAGCCTAATTGACAAATGAGAAAGCAGTCTGAAGAACCACTGAGGGCCAGGCTTGGTGGCACACACCTCTAGTCACAGCACTCCCAAACAGAGACAGGTGGATCTCTGTGAGTTCAAGGCCAGCATGGCCTACACAGCGAGTTCCAGGCTGGCCAAAGCTACAAAAAGAAAGAAGGGACCGGAGAGATGGCTCAGAGGTTAAGAGCACTGGCTGTTCTTCCAAAGGTCCTGAGGTCAATTCCCAGCAACCATATGGTGGCTCACGAGATCTGGTGCCCTCTTCTGGTGTGCAGGCAAAACACCGTATAAATAAAAAAATAAAAGAAAGATGGCTCCTTGTTTAAGAGCACTGGATGTTCTTCCAAAAGACCCAGGTTAAATTCCTGGCAGCTCACAACTGTCTGCAACTCCAGTTCCAGGAAATCTGACTCACACAGACATACATGCAGACAAAACACCAATGCACATAAAATAAAAATAAATAAACTTTAAAAAGAAATAAAGGCATGAGTATCTGGAGTTCAACAAAAGCCAGGGCTACACGGGGGTGGGGAGGAAGGGGGAGAGGAAGAAGTGGGGGGCAGTGTTCAAGTGCACGTGTGTGTGTGTAAGAGCTGGAGATACACCCTTAACCCTTTGGGGAACATCAATAATGTTCTGAACATTTGTTTAATTATTTAATGTGCGTGTGTCTGCAACATGAGCGCGCAGTGTCAGGCTAGAAGAGGGTGTCGGTGCTCCTAGACCTGTAACTATAGACAGGTGTGACTAGTAATGTAGGTGCTGGGAACCTATGAGCCATCTCTCCAGGACCTTGTCTTATAAAATCATTTTTAGATCCACATTTTTTTTTCTTTCTAAGACAGGGTTTCTCTGTGTAGCCTTAGCTGTCCTGGACTCACTCTGTAGACCAGGCTGGCCTCAGACTCACAGAGATCCTCCTGCCTACCTCTTCAAGTGGTGGGATCACAGGCTGTGCCACTGCACTCGGCTATACTTCTGTATTCTATGTGCGTGAATATTTGCCTGCATTATGTATGTGCACTGTGTGTGTGCCTGGGGCCCACGGAGGCTAGAAGAGGGTGTTAGATCCCCTGGGAACCAAACCTGGGTCCTCTGCAAGAGAAGCCAGTTTTCTTAGCTGCTGAGCAATATCTCCAGCCCCATTCTTTTATTGTGTGTTTTTTTAATCTATCATTTATTTCTTTATTTCTTTATTCATTTATTCATATGTGCATATATATGAAAGTGTTTCAGCTAGTGTGGGCATGCAAGCCGGAGGAGATCAGAGGACAGCTTTCAGATGTCAGTTCTTTCTTTTATCCCCTGGGGCCCAGGGATAGAACTTAGGTCCATCAGTGTTGGGGGCAAGTGCCTTTATCTGCTGAGCCATCTCACAGGCTGGGATCTCTGCATTCTCTATAAATCGCATAGCGACTCTTAGGCTATAAGCACTACTGCGCCCAAGCATTGAATTTCGGAAATACATTGGCCTTTCTGAGCCCAAAGGCTCCCTCTTTCACTGTAGGCACAGCAGCTGGGAGCGGCAGACCCCCTCCCCCAAGCCACACCATGACAATGCCTGTAGAAAAACTTCCAGAGGAAGTATTGGCACTCATCTTCCGTGACCTGCCTCTCAGGGACCGTGCTGTAGCTGCCAGAGTCTGCAAGGCCTGGGCTGCTGCTGCCACCAGCAGCGCTGTGTGGCATGATACAAGCGTCAGGTGAGTTGCTGCCAGCTGCCAGCTTATCCTGAAGACACTCACCAGCTGCCTGCGAGTTGGTATTGTCTTTTTGATTGTTTTCGGTACAGGGGATTTATTGATTCGTCGGCACAGGGTACTAGGGTCTCACACTTGCTAGGCAAGGATTCTGCCACTGAGTTCTGTCCCCAGAAATCAGCTGGTGTTCTAAGTGCCTTACATAAATTAACTCACTTAATCCTCGCAAGAAACTCCTGTAGCCGGTAGGCAGTAATATTTCCTTTGCACAGACAGGGAATTGAGGCTTAGAGACTTAATCACTTGGGCCTGGAGGCTTCATCAGCAAACAAGCAATAGAGGCAGAATTTGAACCTGGTGGTCTGGAGGCCCGTCTCCATCTCCACAGACTGCTGAGCAAACCTAATTCCTTAAATACTATTGGCTTTTTTTTTTCCGGAAGTGGGCATGGGGCTGGTAGGCGGGGTTCAAGCTCAGGCAGAGACCTCTGAAGACTTATTAAAAAAAAAAAAAAAAAAAAAAAAAGAGTTCCTGCCACAGGAATATAGGGAGGGCCAGGACCCAAAGTGAGAAGCACATATAGATGCCTCCACAGTTAAGAGCACTAGCTGCTCTTCCAGAAGACCTGGGTTCGATTCCCAGCCCCCACACAGCAAATTTATAACTGGCTGTAATTCCAGTCCCAGGGGATCCAACACTCTCTTCTGGCCCCTTCAGACACCAGGCACTCCTGTGGTGGACGACATACCATGCAGGCCAAACAACTTTTTTTTTATACACATAAAAAAAATCAATATATATATATTTTTAAAGTTTCTTCCCCAGTTCATGGTGACACCGCTAATGTTCATTCCTTCTGTGTCGCTCTAACACAAGTTGTGACTGTGAGCTGGAATACTTGCTGCCACCATATCTGTCCATCTGCCTGGACCACGTTCACAACCTAAGGCTGGAATATGAGCCATCAAAGGAGCCCAGCCGCCGAGCGGCCACTGATCTGCTGACTGCTCTGGCCGGCCGAAGCCCAGGGCTTCGAGGCCTGCGCTTGGAATGCCGCGGAGAGAAGCCACTTTTTGACGCGGGCCACGACATCCTGGGCGCTGTGCGCGCAGTCTGCGGAGGCGCTCACCTACTGCGCCATCTCGACCTGCGCCGCTTGCCCTACACCCTGGACGACACTGTGGTGCTCAGGGCGGCACGGGACTGCCCCGAGCTCCGCAGTCTTTTTCTGGACAACCACGCACTTGTGGACAGCGTGCGGCCCAGCTCTGTGCTCGAGCTATTAGAGGCCTGCCCGCAACTGTGCGCCCTTGGACTGCACCTTGCCAGTCTGTCGCGCCCTGCGCTGGAATTGCTAGCCGCACCACATCGCGCCCCCTTGGCGCTCCTGGCCCTGCGGTGCGCGAGCCCCGAAGATGCTCGCGCGCCCCCCCTGCCTGATGAAGCCTGGGCGGCCTTGAGTTGCCGCCACCCTGGGCTGGAGGTGGAGCTGGAGCTGGAGCCGGTGCTTCCAAACGAAGCCGTGACGCGCATCCTGCAACCGGCAGTACCGGTGGCTGTGCTGCGTCTCAACCTCTCGGGTGATACTGTGGGGCCCGTGCGCTTCGCGGCTCGCCACTACGCCGAAACTTTGCGCGTCCTCGAGGTGCGCGCGTCCGCCTCCACCGAGCTGCATACCGCGCTGGAGGAGCTGGCGGCGCGCTGCGCGGGCTTGAGGGAGATACACTGCTTCTGCGTGGTGAGACCCTCGGTCCTGGACGCCTTCCGCGCGCACTGTCCGCGCCTGCGCAGCTATACGCTCAAACTAAAGCGTGAGCCGCATCCCTGGCAGCCCACGTTGGTGCGGTGATTGGGCAATCTCCCCACTCCAGGACCGCGCCGACCCGGAGCCTGGGAAAGGCCTGAGCAAGTTGCGCAGGAGCGCCCCGACTGCTAGCCCCTTCTCCGGGACTCGGTTGATGACGGGGCTTCCCCGGGATTGGGGCATCCACACCAGTCCCAGGCGCCATAAGTTCACAGGGCCCTCTCAACCTCTGTGTCTCTGTCCGTTCTGGGTTCTCCCTCTCCCCTCTGCACTCTGCGCTAGCTCTGAGGCCCAGAGCTGGGGGAGGGCAGGCGCAAGTAGCAGCCAAGAGTCAAGGGTGAGTGTGAAGTAAATAAATCCTTCAGTATTTCTGCGTCCTGTGATCTCCAGTCGGCTCTGCAGGGGAGGGCAGGAAATCCACAAAGGCTGGAAGAGCAGTCCAGACAGACTTGCAAAAAAGGAGACCTCAAGGGCCATTGTACCGTAACAGTGGGGGGTCGGGATCCCCGCACCCTCCACCCCGGGACTGAGCGGTTCCCTGGCGTTCCACAGGCAGGGAAGTCTGGCTTCACAACCACTACCCTTTCTGTCTGCCCGCCCTTACCTAGGCTTCCCTAGGTCTACAGATAGACCAGGACTTGCCAAGCCCACCGATGATTTCTCCTAAGCAACCCAGGAAGAGAGGAACTTGAGAAAGATGAGACTCGAACCTGGGTTCCCCTCCTCACCCCCACACACCTACGTCCCGGCCAACCCTTTCTCTCCGCTGGTGTCTGGGCCGCGGTCCGAGCCCCGCCTCTTGGGTTCGCACGCGGCCCCCGCCTGACCCGGCGCCCAGGGGCGGAGTAGGGCGGGGCGGGAGGCAAACGCAGCACTTTCGCGGCTTTGACAAGCCCGCAGCGGCCGGGCTGGAACGCTGAGCCCGGCCGAGACTGCGCCATGCAGGAAGCGCCAGCTGCGCTGCCCACGGAGCCAGGCCCCAGCCCGGTACCTGCCTTCCTCGGCAAGCTATGGGCTCTGGTGGGCGACCCAGGCACCGACCACCTCATCCGCTGGAGCCCGGTGAGGGCTGGGGCCCCTCAACTCCCTCAGTGGTCCCCGGGGTCCCTCCAGTGTCTGTGAACACCCAAGTCCACCCAGCCCCCGCCTGGGACTGGGCTGTGAGTATCTCGATTCAGCTGTCCAGAGTGGATCACGGTGGAAGGGGTGTGTGAGATTAAGTGCGAGGAGGAAGGGTCCGAGAGCCCAAAAGGGACCTAGGTAATTCTCGCTTTACTTCATCGACTGATGAGAAAACAGGCCAAGAAAAGGGAAGGGACGGCTCTACCTCCGGCTGAGGGTCACGTAGTGAGTGTGGGACCAGTCTGAGGTGGACCCTGGCATGTGCTAATTCTCTCTGAGAACCTCGTCTAGTTCTAGTTAGGGGTAGAAATTCCTTGTGGCTATGGCAGGACAAGGCCTTACATGATTCTGATCTAGCCAAGTCCTACCTCCCAATGAGGTGCAAACCTGGACCCCAGAGTGAGCAAGTGTGGCCCAGCCGTGAGTGGGTGCCACTCACCGAGTCTGGTCTCCGCCTGCTTGCGGGTGGGCGTCGTTCGTTCTCGGTAGAGTGGGACCAGCTTCCTCGTAAGTGATCAGAGCCGCTTCGCCAAGGAAGTACTGCCCCAGTATTTCAAGCACAGCAACATGGCGAGCTTTGTTCGCCAGCTCAACATGTGTGAGTCCCTCTGCCAGGCGGGGAGCGGGTTGGGGTGACTTAGTACAGAGGGTAGAGCAACTCACGCTCACGCCCCTGCCCCTACCCCCACTCCCCGCGCACCGTTCCCCAGACGGCTTTCGGAAGGTGGTGAGCATTGAGCAAGGTGGCCTGCTCAGACCAGAGCGTGATCACGTTGAGTTCCACCATCCAAGCTTCGTGCGGGGCCGTGAGCAGCTACTGGAGCGCGTGCGCCGCAAGGTGAGACAAACTGAAGAAAAAAAAAAAAAAAAAAAAAAACGATAATAATAACCGGGAAGCCAGCAATGCTAATGCTTCTGACTGCTTTGTGTGCCCCTGTCCCGGATGCTACCCCCTGCCTGCAGGTACCTGCGCTGCGAGGCGAGGACAGTCGATGGCGTCCCGAAGATCTGGGCAGACTGCTGGGAGAGGTGCAAGCTTTGAGGGGAGTGCAGGAGAGCACCGAGGCCCGGCTGCAGGAACTCAGGCAGTGCGGGACAGGGAAGGAAGGGTGGAGTTATGGGTGATAGGATTCTGGCTTGCCTAAGGGTTCTGGGCAGCCCCTTCTGATCTTCAGATGGAGCCTGCATCCAGACAATGGGTCCAGCTCTGGAACTTTTGCCTTATGAGATATATGTCCCCTCTGCTGACCACAGAGTCTGGACCTCTGCATTCTGTGGGGCACGGTGCCCGGGCAAACTCAGGTGCCTCAGCCTCCTTCCACTCCTTCCCACAGGCAGAACGAGATCTTGTGGCGAGAGGTGGTGACCCTGAGGCAGAGCCACAGCCAGCAGCACCGGGTCATCGGCAAGGTGTTCCTCTCCCTCCCCCCCCCCACTCCCGGGCACCCCATACCTCCACCCCTTCCCCTCAGACCCTCCAGGAATTGCCTTTCTAGGCCCAAGGGCCTGGCCTGAAGTGTGAATTAACCCATTCTTTTCAGCTAATCCAGTGCCTGTTTGGGCCGCTTCAGACAGGGCCCAGCAGTACAGGGACCAAGAGAAAGCTGTGAGTACAAAAGCCTGTAGTTCACACTGATGTTCCCACTGCCAGGACTCCCCTCCCTGACAGGGACACACACACACCCTCCAGGGACTCCTCCAGGAGTCCATCTTCATTCCTCCCTCCATCTGGGACTCCCCCCTCCCTTACTACCCCCAACTCTACCTCCACTCCACATTCTCTCCCTCTTCCATTCTAGGACCTTATCCTCAAATTCCTAGGTCCAAAGTAGGCCTCCCTGGGTTGGGGCCCAAACTAAGCTCCCTCCATCCCCTCTCAACCCCCAAAGGGCCCCCATCTCTCAGGGAGCCCCTTCCACTCCAGCATGTGACTGATGCCCTGGCAACAGGCCTCATCTCTGCTGACTTGGCTGCTGGGGCCTGAGGGAGGGAGAGGGAAAGGGAGGGAGGGAGGTGCAGGCTGAGGGGCTTAGAGGCCTAACCTGTCCATCCCGCACAGGTCCCTGACACTAGATGAGGGGAGCTCATGCCCAGCTGCTGCCAAATTCAATGCCTGCCCCCTGTCTGGTGCTCTCCTCCAGGACCCCTACTTTATTCAGTCGGTAGGTGTTGTCCCCTCCACCTTTTCCTGGGGTGCACATGGGATCGTGAGGAAGATGCTTCTTCTCCCTACTTCCCCCCCAAACAGGGAAACCCACACTCTACCAGTCAGACAGAGGCTCCCCAGCACAGATTCATTTCAAACCCAGACCCTTAGACCTGGGTCCAGTGGGTGCTGGTTGGGTTCTTCCTATGGCTAGAAGTCAAGGGCTGGGCCTAGCCTTCTACTTGCAGCCCCTCCCAGAGACTACCTTGGGCCTCAGCCCTCACAGGGCCCGAGGAGGGCCCATCATCTCTGACATCCCAGAAGATTCCCCCTCTCCTGAAGGGCACAGGCTTTCTCCCTCCAGCGGTGGTAGGAGGTAAGGAGGACAGGGGCTGCCTTCCGGGACCCTCTGGGAAAGGGCCTACAGCCCAGAGGCCTGTGGGGGTGGGGAAGAGGCCAGTGTCGGGGTCTGGTTGAAGCTTTTCTCTGGTGCAGGGTGAAGGGCCTGGCACTGCTCAAAGAAGAGCCGGCCAGTCCAGGGGGGGATGGCGAGGCCGGGCTGGCCCCGGCCCCAAACGAGTGTGACTTCTGCGTGACAGCACCCCCACCGCTGCCCGTGGCTGTGGTGCAGGCCATCCTGGAAGGGAAAGAGAGCTTCAGCCCCGGGGGGCCCAGGAGTGTACAACAGCCCGAACCAAGGGGCCCTAGGGAGGTACCTGACAGGTGAGCAGAGCCAATGTTGATGATTTATGGATAGCTCTATCTACATGCTGGCCAGAGAACAGGCATTGCTTTATCTGGCCTGTGGCAGCTAGGGGAGGACATTGGGCCTCAGGCTCTCATGACCCTGACCTGGTTTCTCAAAGTATGCTCCAAAGAGTATCAAAATCATTTAGAACTGGAAACTCCCCTCGAAGCCACTAAGCACCGTGTGGTGGGACTCTGGAATTTACATCTGAAATTAGTTCACTGCGATGAATACATATAGATAGAGATAGGTAGATAGAGATAGATAAGCTGAAGAGCCAATGGTAGCTGGTCTTAGTGGCACAAGGGTGTCATCCCAACTCAGAGACTGAGGCAGGAGCATCACAAGTTCAAGACCCGCCTGGACTACGGTGTGAGCTCAAGACCAGTGTCGGTAACTTGGCAAGACTCTGTCTAAACATAAAAAGAAGATCTGGCAGGAGGTTTATGAAGCACTTGCCTCAAAAGCCTTTTGACCTGCGTTCAAACCCACATAAAGTTCAAGGAGACAGTTAACTCCACAAAACTGTCCTCTGACCTATACACATGCCCCGCCCCCAGACACATAACACACACACAGACAATAATAATAAATAAAAAAGCTAAGTGGTGGTAGCACATGTCTTTAGTTCCAGCACTTGGGTGGCAGAGACAGGTGGATCTCTGAGTTCAAGGCCAGTCTGGTCTACAGAGTGAGTCCCAGAACAGGCATGACTACATAGAGAAACCCTGTCTCGAAAAGCCAAAAATAATAATAACAAATTAATCAATTAATTAAAAATAAAAGGAAAAAAGTGGCTGGGCTGGGGACATAGCTTAGTGGCAGAGTATGTGCTTAAGACGCTCTAGCTCTAAATTTAAACTCCAAGGCTAGAACACAAATGCAAAAACAACAAAACCCAAATTAAAAAGCTCTACTAGTATTTATACTTTTATAGGAAAGGGACCTCTTCCAAGATCTCAGGTCTCAGCTAGGAAGCAAAGGCAAACTCAAGGTAACCTCTTAGAAGCAGGGCATGATGATATACCCTACTACGATGCCAGCTCTAGGGAGAAGGCGGTGGCGGAGGGGTGGGAGTTTAAGGCCATACTTAGCGAACAGAGGTGTGTGCCTGGCCTAAGCTACACAGGACTCTGTGCCAATAACAGTGCCCGGGAGGCTTAGGCAAGAGGATTGCTGTAAATTTGAGGCCAGCCAGGGCTACATAACAAGACATTGTCTCACCCCTTTCCCGTGCCATTCAAAAAGACAAAGAAGAAGAGAAAAATGAAAAAAGAAAAAAAAAACCCACCCCCTTATTAGGCAGGGTATTGAAGGAAAGTATTGTCTCGTAGCGTGTTCTAGTTGTTGGGGTAACTTAAACCTGATGATATAAGTTCCTTAGGAACTAAGAGGAGGTGGGTGTTATAGACCAATAGCAGTTCTTCCTGCACAGGGGAACTCTGGGCCTGGATCGGGGTAACCGGAGCCCAGAGAGTCTGCTGCCCCCAATGCTGCTTAGGCCTCCCCCTGAAACTATGGAGCCCACAGCACCCATGGATGTAAGTATCTCCTTGCCTGGGGGACGACACAAGGCAAATAGAGCTGAGCCATCTGTGCAGCCTTTGAAGGCACCACTTACCTGAGCTCTTCCCAGGTGCTGGGCCCCAGCCTGCAAGGACGGGAATGGACCTTGATGGATTTGGACATGGAGCTGTCTCTGGTAAGAAAGGAGTGGGAAGGGCCACACACTTCTTCATGGCTGAAGGATTGCACCAATGATTCTGAAGCTCTCTTCCTCAGCTTCCGGGCTCCCTTTTCAGCTGCCTCTGGGGGTTCTCTCATGCAGATGCAGCCCTTGGCTCCAGAGAGGGGTGAAGCTGAGCTGACAGTCAAGGAGTTGAATTCTTCAGGTGTAGGTAATGGTGACGGGGGGGGGGGGGGGGGGGGGGGGGGGGGGGGGGGGGGGG